GATATAAAATAGGGTTTTTTTCCGCTACACAGTTCTAACCATGTTTCAAAAATAGAAGCTAAAAGCCCCGAATTTAATTTTGCAATTAAATTAAAAGCATTAGTTCCATTTCATCCTCAAGCGAATTATGGAGAAACTTTTAAAAAATTACTGGGTTTTAAAGACACAGCTAAAATCACGTTTCCATGGTTACAGAATATTCTACTTCAATTGGACAAGGATGTCTAGGTTTTCTTATAAAACAGTATCATTGTATCAGTTATTAGCTACAATTTCGTAAGGGGTAGGGATGTATTTTACAATGAAAATTGACATCCATTGAATGTAGCTAATAACTGATACAATGAATATTCTGTAATTAATATATATATAATTAATTTATAATATATATATATATATATATATATATATATATATATATATATATATATATATAAAAGGAAATATAGTCTTAAGATGTGCTATATTTATGGGATAAAGTGCTCAATATCAGAGATAGAGCGTGTGTAAATATAAAATGTTTTAGGTAACAATCTGTTTCATGCTAGATGCAATTGTCAGGCCCAGAGAACTCGTGGCCTGACGATTGCATCTAGCATGAAACAGACTGTCGCCTCTAAGTGTTGACTTCTATGTTCACTTATATATATATATATATATATATATATATATATATATATATATATATATATTATTAAATATAAAAGAAAACGAATGTCTATTCAGTTTGATTATGAGCCGTTCTAAACTTCGTATAGTTGCTTTAATTTCGTGCAAAAATAAAGACAAAAATTGTCCAACATGTGGATATTTTTTTATCATGCTGCTCCTTGATCTAAGCTTTCCGCTCACATGAGCAATCTTCAGAGTCGTTATCCCTTTTGTCTTTAATTTCGCCCAAATTTAGAACAGGTCATGATCAAATTATAATACACATTCGTTGTCTCTTATATTTAACAATATATGTTTAAATAATGATCTGCTGCCCAATATATATATATATATATATATATATATATATATATATATATATATATATATATATATATATAAAGAAAATCAGAACACTTTAAGGTTCCATTATAATAATTTATTTCACCAGAGTTCTTTAAAGGACGCCGGATCATCAGATAGCACTTCCAAAAATGAAACGAAAAATGAATTGAAAATTGATGCGTAGTGTAAGTTTTTGTAATTTAACAGCTCCTTGAGACTAGCCATACGGATTACCAAGTTTTCATAACTTATATATACATATATATATATATATATATATATATATATATATATATATATATATATATATATATATATATATATATATTTAGTATTTTAGCTCTGTTTCATCCTCAAGCAGATGAAACAGAGTTGGTATTTTAATTCAATTTAATTTCTATAATTAAATTGAATTTTTTAGCTTCTTTTTTTGAAACATGAGAACTCTTATGTAGCGATGGAATCATATTTTTAAAAAAATAATTAGAATTTAGGCCCTTCTTGTGTACTGAGCACTGTTTTTTTTTTTTTTAAATAAAATCAAAAATACTAAAGAACTTCGGATTATTAACGTAACGGTTCTTTCCTACTTTTTTATATATTTGCAAACACACACACACACACTCACACACACACACACACACACATACATACACACACGGTATTTACTCTGTCCCCCCACTAGAACGAGATGTGACACAAGGTCTATTTTTAGGTGGGGACCCGAGCGCGTACACCCGGGACAGGAACAAAAATTCCCCTCAGCGCCCGCAACTTCTCTGGTGCAATGGGAGGGCGCGGCCTCGGGCAGCTGTTCCCCAGGGCTGGGCACCTCTTCAGTATGATTTTCCTCGGTTGCCTCGCTGTCCTTTGAAAGAGAAGCCCCTGCGCGCACTCTGTCGCAAGGACAGAGACGCAACTGAGTGATGATAAGTAGATGTTTACCTACTCAAAAAGAGTAAGTTACAGACACACACAGACACGCACACACACATATGTATTTCGAAACATGACGAAAATTAACAACACCAAAAAACAAAGCCCCCTCGAAAATAGCCAAGGAAGTTATCGAATTGCTTGGGACAATGGAAATTTCCGTAGTCCATTACTGCTACAAAACGAAAAAAAATGGTAAGATGCTGGAAAAACTAAATAAAAAATTAATCAAATCTTCTTTGGTTACCGTATTTAATGCTTGAAGAATGCGCGGAGAGGTCTGTCATCAACATCTTTTCAAAAACTGTTCGAAAGAATATTAATTAAGGCAGATGGTGGTTTTACTGACGGAAACAAAATATGATGCTGTTGTATGATAATGTTTAATAGTTAAGTGTTTATTTTGGTCAAAATGAAATAAAATACTCTGTAGTTACTGAAAATTTATCTTAAACACTAAAAATACAAAAATATCTCATTTCAAGTTGTTTCTTTTAAGAAATGCTTTTTACCTGTAGTACACACACATACACACACACACACACACACACACACACACACACACACA